TTTTTCTCATTTTGTCTCTCATAGTTGAGGTATACCTAGGATGAAAATTACAGGCCTCTCATCTTTTTAAGTGGGAGAACTTGCACAATTGGTGGCTGACTAAATACTTTTTTGCCCCCCTGTGTATATATACAGGGGGGCACATAACTGGTACGCAGGTACGCATGCGCGGCAACAATACGAAATGCGTACCGTCACTTGTGTCACAAAGCGCATTTGCTTACCGATGTACTTGTGAAGCTTTTCCAGAAGGCGGTTAGATCACCGGACGACAGTCATATTTTTTTTTTTTTAGGGTTTTATGGATTTTTTGTCAAAGCACTTAAGATATTCATTGCTATCGGGATGTTAAGAGCATTCCATGGAATATAACAAAAAGTGTATCTCGAGCCGGTTTCTCAAACTTACCTACCCCACCTTTTAAGAGGAAAAACATGTATTTTTTTGTACACTTAAGGGCAATCTCATCTTGACCACTCAATATTGAATCTCTTGATCTCTGCAGGTATATGATGATGAGGGATTGCTGGAATGCCGTGCCTTCTCACAGACCAACATTCAAACAGCTGGTGGAGGACCTGGATCGCTGCTTGGCCATGACTGCCAACCAGGTCAGTCCTCCTCTCCTCATCAAACATGGAAGGAGCAGAAATGTTTTGTACTTAAAATGCTGATTTATTTGTTGTCTACAGGAGTATCTGGAGCTGTCTCCGCCTCTGGACCAATATTCCCCCAGCTACCCGGACACCCGCAGCTCCACCTGCTCCTCGGGCGAGGACTCAGTCTTCTCCCACGATGCCGGTGCTGAGGAGCCCTGTCTGCCAAAGTTCCCTCCCCACCCGAACGGGGCAGCCATTAAGAAACGCTGATACCTCAAACCTCCATTCAGACAAACATTGACATTTCCTCCACTCCCTGCCTCATGGGGTTGGACTCTTCCCCACATTTCCAGAGAGGAAGCTAAAAAAAACTCAGTGCTCTGTGAGAAAGGAGCTCGGAGAGAACTTGCCTAGTAGAACTTGTTGGATCACACGGACTGAGGAGTGCAGCCGTTTTCCGGGTCTTGGTGGTGACGATGTTTATGGGGCACTTCGTATTAACGGGACAGGCAGTTTGTCACAGTGCCAGAAAAAAAAAAAGATAAGACTCACACTCTTCTCTCCACTTTGGGCATTCGACGGGTCAGGTGAATCGAAAGGACTGACTATGATTTCGATTTTGTTCGTTTTATTGTTTCTTTCTCCCCTCAATGGTTGTTTCATCAGTAGTAGAGGACAATATTCTGCTTTTCAGACCAAATCGAGAGAATATACTACCAAGGGACATGCAGCACCGTGGTCCCCTGCATCATTCATTATCTTCTTGTAAATACAGTTAGAAAATTATAAATATGAATATATATTTACATTGTACTCTTATTTTTATTACCATCATTGATTTATTTCTTTTGTACACGGTTTGATCCATTTTTTAATATAGTCTGTGGGGAAGTTGTTACAGGAGAATATCTTTAAATTGCTGAGGATTACATGGCCAGTTGCTGTATCACAGCGTTGATTCCCCTAAATTTACTGCATAATCATCAATGGAGAAAATATATATTGGGTTTTCTATTTTTTAACTGTAAGTTCTTTTCATAACACAAACCTGCAATACAGTGTAACTCAGTGTTTGGGGTTTCTCTCCATCAGAAGAGATAGATTTATAATGTGTGTGACTGTCTGTGTGTATGCTGGATGTGTGTGGAAAACTGTATCTTGTCTCATTCGAAATTGTTCATTAACTTCGAGGATGGTCACAACTGTAAATATTCCTGGTTGTACGCCATGCTTGTTAAAGTCCGAGTAATTAGCTTCAGTCAACATCATGCACTTCCACTGTGCATGCCTTCCATGTGATGAACTTATTTTCTACTGTAGATGCTTTAACAGGAGTTACATTTGCTGCCATATAACTTCTGACGAAGGGTTGCAGAACACGTATGTCATCGTAAAAAGATTACATTAAATAAAAATGCTATCGAAAAACAAACCGCCAAAGCTTTCAGAGTTTGAACTCTACTTCATAAAGGGGTCTATAAATATCGATATATTCATGTTTGTGATGTAAATCATGTTTACAGAGATGGAACGATGGTCACTTCAATCCCCCACCCATTTAACACGGGTTGCTGGGGGCTGATTAGATATGATAATGTGCTGCTGACATCAGTAGAAATGTTGGCGAGCGCAGAGAGCCACAGCCGGCAGTAAACATGTAATTTATGGCCGTGGGAATGGCTTGGCAAGTGCTGGTGCTACACTTCCATCCATCAGCCACACCAACCTTGATGCCCGTGTCTGCCTCTGGCTTCCTGCCATTGGCTGATGCATCACCTGGATTGCAGTCTCCACGCAACAGGCTAAAATCAGCCGCACAGCGCGACTGGCTTTCGACCTTTTTAAAAAGCCAGCTCTTAAAGCTCGGGTCAATGCAGTTAGCCTTCTGTGCATACTGTATTACAGCAGTGGGGGGGCATTTTACTTAATAGAGAGCTTGCTACTTTTAACAGTTATATGAATACAAGCTGTAGGGATTTTTAAGATGATACCATTATACTGTATGCTCAACAATACATCTCATGGCTTTAAGGATTTCAACACACACTTCAAGGATTCAACAGACCTTATTGTTTTTGGGAGAAATATCATCTCCTCCTGGAAACGAATGTTGAAGGGGGGGCTATAAACAGTATAATCTGTGCCGTGGTTGAGGTGATGATGAAGAGCTCTATTTAAGAATAGAAAGCACAGGAGAGGCCCAGCTTTATAACCTGCTAATGGTGCAGAGCGGAGGAGCACAGATGCTACTAGGTGTTATCACTTCTGACAGATGGTACAGGAATAGTTTGGTAGAGCAAAGTTCATCGGCTATCGTCCAGTGTAGTGTTCTGCAGAAAGCATTAATTTACAAACTCAATGTGTCTTTATTTTTGCTGCATTGAGGACACTGGAGGGTGTATATTGTCAACAGTTATGCTATCTAATTATATGGTGTTTAATCACCGAGATGGAAGGAGCTACTGCTGCGTCCTGTTTTTGTCTGAAATGAATGTCTGATGATTGATTGGGGACTAGTGATTGATTTGGGATTACAGGCATTTTAGTCATCCAAGCCTTGGTATGTTAAGATCCAGCAACACCCCTTGTCTAATTGTAACAGCTTATTTTTAGATCATCGTGCCCTTAACCGAAGGAGGCAAGCAACACAGTCCTACAAAGTAAAGTTGTTCTTTCCAACATTGGTTGAAAACACTGAACAAAGGCTTTTCCCTGAAATGGAGGGGGGATATTGACGTGACAATTGAAGAAATGTTTTTGGGAGTAAGAAGGAAAAATGCAACACATCCTTTCCGTTCAACCAGGCCCAGGTCTTGTTCCCTTGTTTGTAGGAAATACTGATTTAGCCTATGGAGTAAACTGAAGAAGAATTAGCAGTTGGCATCAACAAGAAAAGCTCCTCTTGTTGCTCTTGGGATGCTAATGTAATAAAATATATATTTTTTAAATATATCACCCAGCCTTGTTTTTTTTGTTAGTCCCCTCCCTTAGTTCATGTTGACATGTGATGGGAATTTTGCAATTTTTACAAAGAGATTTTTATGTCACGTTCTTTTTTTTAAATTAATCTTCTGTATCTCAAATTGGTCATTTAAATATCTAATTTAATTGTATTTACAGGAAATGGTTGCCCCCTCTCCCTGGCAATGAATGCATCTTATAAATTAGTTCAAATCATCATCATCTGCAAACTAGAAGTCAGTAATATGAGCAATATGACACGCCATGTTTCCTCGGGGGCCTGTTAGACGAATTGCTGTGTTCTTGTTTACCAGAGATTGTTTGATTTATTTCCATTTTGGGATTATCATCTCCATGTCTGGAGAGAAGCCTGAGCCTCACCATTAATCTCCACCCAGTGCGTTTCCTGTCAGCGGTGACAGATGACCTGCCCTTCAACTCTCTGCCACCCTGTGAAGAAGACATGTCGTCAATCACAGTATCTTTCTCGGCCGCAGTTAGAGAAGAGGGTCCTCGGCTTGGATGACGTGTGTGTGTGTGTGTGTGTGTGTGTGTGTGTGTGTGTGTGTGTGTGTGTGTGTGTGTGTGTGTGTGTGTGTGTGTGTGTGTGTGTGTGTGTGTATTTCAGCCTACAGGAAACAAGGAGCTGTGACATCAGCCAGTTGATGTGCACCTCTGTCCCCTCACAAATGAACAGATTATTTATGGGAGGGATGTCAGTGCCCAAGATGGGATGGAGGGGAAGGCTACAGCAGTGTAATACAGGAACTCATGAATATCATTCTGGCCAGTGTCCATGTGCAAGGTGAAGGAGACATGTCCTTTCATTCCTCCTTACGACGAGAACATAAAAACGAGACCTCAGACATGAAGTGCGTGCGTGTGTGTGGGTAACCGCAGCAGACAGGATTAGCTCTGGTACACCATAGATTGCTGATTTCAAAACAGAGGAGGAATTTTAATTTTCTGTTGTTTGCTACCCACTGTGAGTCCCCTCCCTTGTTAACAGCAGTTAAGATGACGAGCAACTGTTTTGTGTCTCAATGTGGCCACTGTGGTTTTGGGTGTTGTTCCCTCTTGAAGACATGTTTTTCAGCAAAAGAAAATATGTAATACGTTTAATATTTATAAACATTTAGTGGTGGAATGTCACAAAGTAAATGAACTCAAGCACTGTGCTTACGTAACATGATGAGGTACTTGTACTTTGCTTTTTTTCATGTCTCTTTATTCTGCAACTCCACACTAATTCATATTGTACTGTTTACTTTACATCTATTTCACAACATTAGTTAGTTTACAAATGAACATCGTTGCATTTAAAAACTGAAATGTTTATAAATTATAAAATGTTGTTAAGATTAAACTAGATAGTTTGTACAAGAACAGCTTAGTTGATAAACATTGAAACTCAGAGTAAACTATTTGGCATTCGTAAAGATTGAAGTAATTATATTTTAGGAGAGATTTTGAGTGTTTTTCTTTTAATTTTAGATTCTTCTTTCAATCAATATTTTTACGTATATTACACTTACTTTTACATGATCAACATTTCAAAAGCAGGACTTTTTCTGGTAACAAATTATTTTTGTGCGGTATTAGTACTTGTATTTAAGTTGAAGATCTAAATACTTCTTCAACCCCTGATCTTGTCTCTGGATGTCAAAGTGTCTGAGCTGAACCTTCTGTTGCCCTTGTGAAGAAGAAATTGACAGACGGAGGCAGTGGGTGTTGTCTCCTCGTCCCTGCTCTCTGGATGTTGATGTTTCCGTCTCCACAGAGGGCCCGGGCCCCTGTCTGTGAGACGTCTGTCTGTGTGACAGGTCCCCGGCGCCCGGCTGCTCTGTGGGACAGACATAACAGAAGGGGTGAGCTTGGGGCACGGCCTGTCACTCACTGCGCGTCTTACCATTGTTTTTTAGTCGCTGCCCTTTATATTCTTTTCTCCACATCACAAAAACAATAGGCATAAGTTTGTGCGGAGATATCTGTTCCCTACTCTACATATTGTTAAACTCAGTTGGATTTGAATGGGAACACGTGTTTCAGCCCTTTTGGAAGCACCCTATAACTACTACAATTATTACAGTTAGTGTTGTTTATTCCAAGGTTCCCCATTAGAAAACTTTTGCTATCCTATTCCCTATATGTTTCCCAGATTCTAACTACCTTTATTCACATTGTAATTTATGGAGATTCATAAAAAAAAATGTTGTCTGTAAACATGAAAATAGGACATTTTGAGGCTCAAGTTTCTTGTTGTAAAATCTATCTCTGACAGGATTTGTGGAATGAGTATTTATGGCGTCTGGAGGCACAGGTGTGGTCAGGTAAAGGAGATGGATGAGGGTGTTTGTTTGGATTCGAATGAAGGGGGGGACAAGGGAGCAGTGGTAGTGGTGTCTGCCCTAACAAGGTGTGTGTTGGCGTCCATACAAAAACTGACGCCTACAGGCATGGCCCCGCCTCTTTCCCACCAGATCGACTTTCTTCAGTGCAGGAATGAGACACGGACACCTCCTCCAGGCTGAGACATATAATCTGGGCCTGTCAGGGCCTTTATCAAACAGGATCAACTGGTGCTCTGTGCCTTTCTCTGCAGTCCCCACAGGCAGCAGGATACCTGCACACGCATTCCTCCGACACATCCCTGTCCCAGGAGGCGTATCACCTGTCTTTTATGGCAGCTTGGCTTGAAGATGAGCATGGGGGGAGGGCATGGGGTACAGTTGCTCCTCTGCATTGTCCTGATTGCGAGAAGCATTATTTGGTTTGGATGATTTTCTTGATCCACGGCACTTAGTCTCAAAATGTCACAATCAACAGATAATCTCCCTTAGATGTAATGATTTTGTGTCTGTTTTCTCACTGCAGCGTGTTTTCATCGCAAAGATAATGACTATATGACCTGTTGATTGATGGAGATCACATCAGGAGGCTTTTTTTCGCCCCTTGAGGATCCTGCAGCTCTCTTGAGGGAGCCCTTCTTGGCTTAGTTGTTTCAGCCTGCCACTTTGTGACTAGATAAGAGAGGGTATGAATCAAAGCAGCAGCAGCGTCGTTGTGCACAGGACTCTAATCATATCACGCGCCCCTGAGCCATATCTCTTTGTACTCTCTTTAATTGAATTGAGCCTGGGATGAGATTGGCTGACATACCTTCCAGTGACTGAGCCGCACTTGGAGAGGGAGGCGAGGAAAAAGAGCAATTTGGGGGTGGTTGTTTTCTTGGCACAGTTTGGTATAAAATCCTAAAGGTACCCCAAAGTTAGCATTTGATATCACATGTTTCACTGCTGTTCATAGACTCGCCCCAGGCACTAACCTTTATCGTCTAATATGAAATCATTAGGAATTTTATTTGCGTGTTTGCAGCACGGCAATTGATTATTAAAGACAGACTCATCAAACATGACAGATGTTTGCTCAGCAAGGCTAGTAGTGACAAACACTTACCTTATTGAATT